ATCGAAAAAAATCGCCGACATCATTCGAAAAACACAATTGCGCTTAAATGATGATTTCAAAACGTCTTTTTTGATGTGCTGTATAAGAAAATAACTATAACTGAGTCTAGTATTCTCATTTCATATTCTAAGATTGTCCTGAAATTATTAATGCTAGGAAATTTCTCAACGCATGCAGACTATTTTCGAGTGCTTCGAAATTTCAACTCGGCATTTTTACAATTGGTTAACAGTTTATATCTCATAAAAAGCCCTAAGAACTAATTTTGTTGGAAAGCTAGCTTGAAAAGAGCCACTATTTCAGAACTTATATTTAGCGGAGTGAGGAAGAAAACAATAACCGAACGGCGGAAGTGGCTCTAATAGAATAGGAGAAGCAGGAAATGAACTCATTAGGTTACGCGCCAAGTCGGTTGATTTGCAAAGGTTGAAGTGGAGGTTTCCATCAAAAATTGCATTAATGTGTGCTAGGAGTGATGTCAAGCTCACAAATCAACAAACACCGCCAAAAATTCCTTTTCGGGAAGACGTCTTTCATCTATGGCACCTACACACCAAGACGAATGAGTGCTCCTCGGCGAAGTAAACTTTAGAGCCTGAGAGATCGCGGAGCCCAATATTCAGCTGGCCCTAACATCCTAACGCAAAGATATAGGGCCAAACTAATACATCGCGTAATTGAATCCTCTTCTTCTTCTTTTTCTTCTTCACAGTTTCATTTCTGTTTGTTCCTGCCGACGAACGATTTTGCGTCCGAACACTCTAAAGGTTCTGGGTCATGTTGTTTCCAAATGCCTTGAATTTAACGGCAAAAAAGTAGATCCAAGAAGTAGTTTCTTTCCAGGATATGAAAAACTGTTTTTATCTTGATATCGAATTATTTTGCTTTAAAAGTTTTCCAAGAATTTTTGCCTCAAAATTCATTTTTCGGATTGCGTGGATTTTATGTATTTTTTCAGTTTCACACCAGCTGTTCCTTGAAAAATGTTTTTGTTGAAAAACGGCAAAAAGCTCATTCGAAAAATTAAGATGAAATTATGCACAATGTAGTTGGAAATGGAAAACGCCTTGCAAATGGAAAAATATGTACAAAAAAACCTTGTTTCGGTACTGAAAACAATTACCTTCGACCCCATTACTCTGAAAAACTTCTTCCTGGTATCATGCTTCTTTGCTGAAAAAAATAGAAAAACCTGCCTGCAAAACTTGAGAAGAGAGTATCCCCCAAGTAGAAAAATGTGAAGCAATGAGCTTTTTTTTTATTTTTCTCAAAGAAAAAGGAATAATAAAAATTCATAGTTTTTGAGTTATTACTTTCGAGAAATGCTTTTATTTTGCGTAGCCTCGTCAAATGAAAAGATATTGAATATAATATCACACAACAGCTGTCGAATCGGCTCGTTCAGCTTCGAGAAGAATGAAAAAAATAGAAAAAAGACGTAAGTTAATTGAAAACAGGAGCCAGTCAAAAAAAGGCTTAATTTAATTGTTTGTAAGAAAGGAGTTGATCCTTCTTTTTTTGAGTTGCAAAGATTCTCAAAACCGAAAGAGCGTTTCTAAGGAGCTTGGTGTTGACACTCCTGCGAACGGGGAAGAAGGGAATATTCATGAGAAAAGGTACTTGATCTTGGAGATCTCTGATGGATTAAAAGGGGATAAGAAGAAACTCAAGGAAATAATAACCAAGTTGGGTACATCGACACGAACGAAAACGAAGGCAATTGCCGGAAACATAATATCGGTTGTTCTCACGGCATCGCCACATTCTGACCCCATATGGGAACGTTGGTTCAAAAATTGCATGAAGAGTTGTCTGTTATGCCGAAAGTGCATGAAAAGTTAATGAATGAGTGAGTAGCTGCACTACGATGTTTATCGCAACAGCTCTGATCATTTGTCAACATTCATTATGTATCGAACAAGTTTTTCGAACGACATACACCCAAACATTAAACATTTCTTGACTAGATGCATAAGGAATTTTTTGCTCTCTTCGATAACCTTTGAACGGGAAATCTCGCATTTTTGAACAGTGATTGCAAATTTGACCGGTTATCTCCAATCCAATAATCTTCAAAAGATCTACCGTGTTTCAGCGGAGCCTTTTAAACTTCTCTGATGATGTAATAAATAAAGCGCATAGTCGCATAACTCCAACTCGTGAATATAATCTCCATTTGTGAAAAGTTTGGCCAGTTTGGAATATTAAAGTTTCCAGAAGGACACTAAAGAGTTTGTGATAAAAAATAGAAAGTTTTCAGAAATATTTTATTGAATCTAACGACCAAAATATTTTGGTTCAACTTTGCAAAATGATGCGTCGACGCGGCAAAGGGCCTGAAAGTGAATGGAGCTTATCAAAGCCTGGTGCGATTTATTCAGAAGACTGTATAGTATCAGTAATAGTAGAGAAAGCTCTCAAAAACAAAGGGGAAATTTTTGTAGCAAGCCTTTTTAGGATTTGATCGATTTTCTCAGAGAACGCGTGTAAACGATACCTGAATTGATACTAATAAATAAATAATAATATTTATTTGGTGCGTGGAGCATCCTTTTCAAAGAGTTCAGATCGTTTATGAACTTTAGCGAAATACGATGAGGAAGATATTACAAATAGATTAACTCATTTTTCATTTCCTTTTACTGAGCAAATAATAAAAGTCTTACAGCTGTAACAGGAATCACACCTAGAACTACTCCAACCCGTGCAGATAAACTGAAAAATGACGTACCTTACTGTCGTTCTCGCAATTTTTCTGCAGTTATCTGTGAAAAGAGCGCGACCTCAAAACGATGGACCAAAAATTAGGAGACAGTCGCACGGAGAGCTCACTGCAGAACATGAAAAAGATGTCAGCCTTTCCTATTTATAGGAGCCAGCTCAGGCCAAATATTCTCTCAGAAATAATTTTTCACATCTTCACAGTCGTCTGAATTTATGAACCGTCTAGGCAAGATAATGTTCTTTTTGGATAGAAAAAATAAAAATTTCTGGTCTGCGCCTCACGCGATTTCACGATTAAAAAATATCTCGGAGTCAACGAGCTGGGAAATTCTCATCGAAAACGACTGACACACAATAGTACGGTAAAAAAATTGTAGGTTAAGAGAGCAAAGATGAAAAAAATACTCCCACGAGCAATAATCGCGCTGAAAATATTTTAAAAAAAAAGTTTTTATATCGAAAGAAATATCATTCGAAGTTAATAAAGTTAAAATTTCAGCTTGAAGAAACCTTCAGAAGTACTGAAAAAGTGTAGAGTTGATTCGAGAACGCTTAGCGGTACTTCTGAGGAGACGAGACGGAGTAAGACGACTCCTCGTTACTGAACCCATTTTTTTCGATGGGAAGTTATTGAAGGCAAATATGACGCACTTCATGGGATTCTGTAACGAGGAGTCGTGTGGCTCTTATTCTTCAAAACCAAAAAAAAAGTTCTCAATCGTTCCATGAACTTAACATCAATTCATCAAAATGCGAGCACTCTTCAACAAAAGTAATAGAAGTTACTGACATTTTCTTGAACTTAAGCTGTAAATTGGAAAACGCGGAAGCAAAAGGTCTCACTGGATGCATTTTAGATAGATCGCGTTCTTCTCGAAATGAGAAACAGATTATAAACGAAAAAGGCAAGCGAGCTCCAAAAACGCAAATGCATTCACGATAAGAGGCTACTGGATGCAAATCGCAAAAAGAAGAAAGATTGGAAAGCTGTGCTCGGGATCTTTTGACACTTCTTGTCTTGTCAGTTGTAAGATTCCCAGAGAAAAAAAAAGAGTTTTATACGACTTTGACAGACTCGAAACTAGCTTCTTCCAAAAATCTTCTTGCGACAGGAGGAAGTTGGAACGAACGCGGCAGAATGTTTCAATATGGCCTGCCAAGGAATCCAATTTACACAAACTAGACTTTCGCGTTTCATTCAAAACAAGTACAGGGCAGCTGAGCTTAGAAACATCAAGTAAACATCCAAATAAAGTTGGGAATCAAATATATTGAAAAAAAGAGGAAAGTCGCCTGATTACGTGTTTCATTGATACTAGAGGTTTTCAAAACAAGAAATATATCGTGGGTTTTTTTCGGAGTTTGCTCTGAATGAATTTGATAATGAAAAGAGTTAATTATTGTATTTACTTCAAGCTTATTCCAAATTTTTGAGACTTGTAGCAATTCCACTTTTCATTTAACCTGGGTATATTTTTTTCCAGGCAAAAAAACTAGAAATTAAAGTCATCATTTGATAGGTAAAAAAATGAAATTTCTCAATAACCAAATTAGATTTAGCGATTTGCTTGAAAAACCTGCAAGTTTCTGTTTTTTTTTCCAAACAATGGAGAGCTGATATCGAATAAAATTTTGGCAACCTTGCTTTTGAGTTTTTTTCAAAAACAATTTTAAAGATCTGCAAACTTATGATGTCTGCCAAAAGGCTTACGTCAGTTGCGAAATTCGAATTTTTTCTATAAAATAAGGTCGTCATAATCACAGATATAATAAACTTCATTCTTCATTTTCAACGCCTAAAGCTCCACATTGATAATCTCAGACTTTCATGCGAGCGGTCGCGAAGCGTTCTTTTCGTGGAATTCTTCAAGGTTTCACTATCAAACCTTCAAGAGACCATGTATAGTCTGTGTGCCAAGACTTGAAATTTCACCGAACGACATTCCGCTGTTCCGCTGCGTCGCGAAGCGTCTTTGCGAGCCTTGGTCTCGCCTTGGATCGGTTCTCATTTCTGATAGATGGACTGTTCCACTAGGAACACATTTTGGTCGAGTTCTTAAATAAAAGGAAAAATTAAAAGCGCGCAAAGGCACGCAGCGGAACAGCGGAATGTCGTTCGGTGAAATTCCAAGTCGTGGTAAACAGACTATAGCCAAAGAACTTTCGTAAGTTTCACAGTTTTTCTTGAAGTTCTAAACAACACTTCTTTTTTTTCGTTCAATGCTAAGATTTATTATGTTTTTCCGTGCTCCAAATATTTTTGTTTTTGTTTTTCATGTTGCCATGGATCGGCAACTTCAAGGAGCTTCTAGAAAAAGCAAACCAGGCCGAAACAACGTGCTCGGTCGGCAAGCTCCTTGAACAAACGTTTTTGTCGTGATGACAACTGAAGGCCTGAATTTTTTATAGGCGCCGTCCATCTCCGGGCAACCTGGATTCCAGTCTCAAATATCCACCAATTGTCGTGCTTTTGAGTCCGGCACACCTTGTAACTTGCGCGCCGTGCACCTGTTCCATGCCTCATTGACCGTCATGCTCGCCGCTCTGCTTGTGCTCGACATTATTGCAGGTACTGTAGTTTCTGATTTTTTTTAATCCATGAAAATCTAGTGATTGACTGTTTGACTGTTGTTTGATTGATTTATTTATGGCAAATTAGTGATGCAACCATCTGAAGAATCGGGATGCAGCCGTAGAATTTCAAAGACACAACGTTTGATGCTTTATAAGGTAGATAAACTCGGTCACTTTCTTGTCATTAAAATGAGCACTACCATCAAAAAATAAACGAAAAAAATAAATCAAAATAAAAAAACCTTTTCTGAAAGTTTTTCGGGAGCCTCACAAGGGAGATCATTTTACGCTGCGGTTGGGAATTTTAGAAATTTTGCCAGAATACTCGTTGATCTACCAGAATAAGATTCTGGAAGCCAAAACCTGCACAACTACCTAGTTTTCGAGAAATAAGGACTCAAAAGTCAAAAAATGCCTATTTAAACGAATTTTCAGAGAATTCATTAACTTTGAGGTGCCCTGTCTCAAAAACTAGAAAGTTGTGCAGTTTGAAAGTTTCAGAAATTTTTTTTGGTACAGCCAGAAATGTTCTGACCTATTTTCAGCAGAATTTAAACGACTAAGAGAGTTGACCATTTTTGTTAAATCCACAGTAAATATTATTTTTCTTCAGTTTTTCTAGATATCCACTTATAAATTTTTCACTTTTCTATGTAAAACTCCTTCGGATGAAATTAACTCTGAGTAACATGAAAATGGAAAGAATTGAGAAAACCGTTCTACAGTGACACATGTTCATATTAAGAAATTTCCATTTCATCTAAAAGAGTTTTCAATCGATCTTATCAACGTCAAAAATTTTCAGCGGTTGTATCATTGAAATGCAGCCAGTGCAATGGTTGGCACGGCGACTACCCTTTGAGGTTTCCTCAACCGAAACTCCTGCAGAAGTTCTGATTTTTTTCAGATACACAACGGCCAGCACATGCGACAACCGCAACAATCAGTGTGAAACGACGCAGGTTTCCTTGCACCCCAAAAAAAAAACAATTGGATATGAAATTTCAGTACTGCGTCAAAATAATTGATCCAATGTCGCCTGGATCCAATTACGTGACGTATAAAAGCGATTGCTTCTACCAGACGCAAATCCAAGTTAATCCCACGAACTTGAGCTATGTTCAAGGAAAATTATGTTATCCTTATCAAGACGGCTCCGCGCCAGTCAAACGGTGAGTACTGTCCGTTTATTATTTGGATCCACAATTAAAGATTTTTTTTTTTCTTTTTGTAACAAGCTATCTGGAACAGACTTTTACCCAAGAAAATGTTACAGTCGATGAAAGAACGAAAAAAATCCGAACAGTTTGAAAAAAAAAAATCTTATAACGCATTACCGTTTCAGCATCAATTCAGATTTTCAGATGGTACTATTGCTTCTGCAACGACCGTGATTATTGCAACTCAGCCACGATCTCAACGTTTACGCTGTCTTTAATATTTGTAACACTACATTTGTTTTAAATGTTTATTGTGTTTTGTAAAAAAAAATGTACCCATTTTTCGATGAATAAAATTTTTAAAATCCTGTTTTGAAAAGCATAAAAGCGATATGTTGAATATAAAAATAGATGAAATGATTTGTTTCATGTGTAACATAAGATCCAAAATTTCTTCCGACGACGCAGTGCCATGAAGGGTTGTGTTTCCGGTCGAACTCTTCTTTTTATGTACGTTGCCATGTCCTGTAAAACCATCGTGAGGCAAAGTGAAAAAAATAAGAGATATTTTGTGTTTTGAGACAAAAAAAGTTGAGCTCAAAAAATTACAGGTGAGTCGTTTTTGAACTGCATCGAAATGCTATGTGGAAGGCTTTCCTTGAAACATTTTTAAGGTTATAAAACTGAATTTCTTTTTCAAATCATCTAATATATTTACGAATTTTTACTTGACTTTCCTGTTTTATGTTTAGATCAAAACCGAGTATTCTTGTATACTTTCCAGTTAGTTGTTTGACGTAAGACTTTTAAAATTTCTCCTAGGAAACGTCCAAACCTTTTCAAGGCGATATTTTTCCATGGCTTCGGTTGCGACGCGGACAGCTTCTCTCTGCATTTCTTCTGCCATGTCTGAGCTCTTGATCACGCCTTCTTGTTTTTTCGGCAGGCTTTTCTCGGCGTTTGATCGGCTCTTTTGCTGTAAAAGTTTGCTCATGAAATCGAAAAAAAAGCATTTTTAAGATCTTCTTTGATTTACCTGTCCGAATGGATAAAAAACTTCCGTTGCGGATATTGACATCACCATCTTTGCCAGGTCAGAAAAGTTCAAACTGTGAAAAAAGACATTTTCGAAGAATTATTAGCGTTCAAAATTATGACGAAAAAGTCGATATTGAGTCAAAAATCATCTTATAAGCAATGCAATAGAGAATTTTTTGACAGTTGATCCTTGGATTCTGCAGAAACTGTCTCCTAAAACTGCGGTCTATTTAAAAAAGGTCAGAGGTGTTATTGGAATGAAGATGAGAAAACGGAGTTGGTAACTTTTTCAGTTTACTTACATACATAATCATAAGGTTTTTAGTATCAAACTTTGATTCAAAATACTCGAAAAAGCCTGTATCAAACCATAAAAAAAGAAGAATAAAGTTACAGTTGTTTAGATAAAAGAGTGAAACTGTAAGTTGACTTCCGCCTAGTTCAAAGGAAGAATACAAGTAGTCCACCAGTTGCAGTTGCCCATTTATAAGCCGTAAACTTCTAAGTAAATAAACTCAAGATAAAGGGTAAAAAAAGCAGTCAACTAGCGGAAAAAGAATGGGCGGTTGACTGACTCAGAAGCTGTGAAGTTAAACCAGCTTCTAATTTCTGAACTCGGGGAAAGCCTCAGATGTCGGAGCCACAAAGGATAGGCGGACACTCAAAGCAGGGCTCACAAGTGTCGTTCACAAGGACTACAAGTGTTTTACTAGACAAAAAAACTCTACTTCACATCCTTTTCTCAGAGATCTCCGATTTTTGTCGATCATGTTTAACCGTGATCACTTGTTTTTGAACCAAAGATCCCGGGAGGAAACTGCGGGTTTCCCAGTTTGTCAGCTTTTCATGATTCCTAAACAGCTACAAGACCGTCAGATAACAAAGAACGCTTTTTTAATCACGAATTTATTGAATGGTGTTTTATCTTTCTGAAACCTTCCGGGGCTGTAATGACAGTTGATTATAACGCTTTGATGAAAATTTCAGTTTGTAGAAAAATACGCAACTTTATAGGTATTTAAAAAGAACGGGGAAGGTGTGGGCGGGAGATTTTATTTTATTTTTTTGACGGTACTGTAATCAACTTGAAGAAAAAACGTTTTTTACGCTGATGGAATCAATGAGAAAGCTATAATATTTCAAAGGAGAAATTCGAAAAACGAAAAAACTCACGAAAGACTTTCTTCTTTCCTCCGCTGGCGACTCGTTTTCGACTTCATTTGAAAGCTCCTCTGGAATTTCGGACAGTGGGCGAACGTCTTTCTTTTTAGGGTTTTGAGCTGTTTCTTCTCGCTCCATCCCTAAATTTGAAACTTTTCAAAAGTCATGAAAGTTTGGACGTGGTGGCCTAAGAACGCAAAGTGAAAATCCTACTGAGAAAAAAAGTGCAAAGCCGCTTGAAATTGCGTGGTTCGGATCTTTAAGGGGAAAGGAAGAAGAATTTAAATCTGCAACCTACTCGAATCAAGAGTTTAACTTGTGAACTTTATCAGAAATTTTGATATTATCCTTATCAATCATATACATGAATCGAATATCAAAAAAATTAAGTTTGGACAACTAGAATAAAAACATGTCTTTCTCTGGTTTGAAAGAACTTCTCTTGATGTTCGAAAAAAACTTCAAAACACATTCTAATTTAGGAGTAAGACTCGAACAACGATTTATTATTTAAGCAAGGAAAAACTCATGATTTCAAAAAGAAAGCTCTAAAAAAATTGAGGTTGAGAATAAAATAGAAGGTAAATGAGTATCTGAAGAGATGGGGATGGGCGACCCTCGACTATCAAAGTGGATGATAGCGCGCGAGGATTTTCTATCACTTTTGCGCTCTTCGAGCACACCTGTTGAGCAACCGACACTCTGATTGAAATCCAAAAATAAATCAAGTAAAACTCAAACAGTCGTCCGTTCCATTCACCAGATGGGATACGCAGAAAAAAGAAGTAACCCGATGGCTGAAATCGCAACAACGCGTGACGTCTCTTGTTTGTCGTCTACATTAAAAAGAAAAAAGAGTAGGTTTCTAACGTTTGGCATGGTCCCAGACACTCTTTCGCATTCTTCGACCTTAGTAACGCAAATAATGGACTTGCATTGGCGCGGAGCCACTTGGCGAAAAATTGACCTTCAAGACCAATTGCGAGAAGTCAATGATAAAAATCGCAGAAGTTACGATATTTTTTTCTGTAGTCTAGAGCTTCGAATAGACTAAAGCAAAAAAATAGAGCTTCGAATGAACGATTTCTGGAGAGCATCGAGCCAATTTCGCTAAGATTCGATTTTTTTTTTTTTTGAAACTAACAAGCTTTTTTATAGAATCCACTTTAACTTCTTTTTATTGAGAAAGAAAACATTTCGATCATTTTTTTTTTCAAATTTCCATTGGAAACTCTTCTCTACTTTCATCTCTGAGCTTCTCTGTAGACCGACTGTAGACTCGACTTTTTCCGCAACGTAAGCCACCGCAGTACTTTGGACCCTGCGATCGAAAAGTGAACGGAAAAACTGGGAGCCTCTTGTGAAACTTTTCCTTGAAGTTGACGCCCAGTTTTCTGATTTGGAATCTCCGGTGACGAAACCCTGAAATCCGGACGTGCTCCGGCCTTTTCTGAGAACTTCTAGGGATCTTTCAAGAGTGTTGAAGTTACTAAAGTGGTCACTAGAAATGCCCCGACAAGTCCGATTTGCGTTCGTTTTGCTTTAAAAATGTTATAAAAAGAGAATGATATAAATTCTCTTTATAGCAACTTTATATTGCAGTGTATGTGCGTTGGGGCGTAATTTAAAATATGAAGGACTCAAGAAAAACTGATTTTTTTATTACCAACAAGAGTTGATGGAAACCTTTCTTTCAGTGAAATCAATGCTCATAAACTTCTTTTTTTCAAATTTCGTTTCTTAAGAATGCTGTTAAATGACATTCTTATGGTTTCTTGAGAAAAAAATGTTTCGCGGTTGAAACTATTTCAAGATATGGGTCGCCATCAAAAGTTTGACCTTTAAAAAAATCCAATTTATGAATTAACTACTGTCTGAATAATATTTTCTTCAGATTTCAACATCGCCCGCAGATGGACAGTTGACTATCCAGAGTCCACATGATCACCCTTCAGGCGGTTATCAAACCAAAACGGACCGTCCGATAACGAACACGTCGAGGGGAAATGGCGACTGTCACTCAGTGCCAAAAACCCGTCGCCAGCGCTCACTGTTTTGAGGCCGATCGTCGAAACCAGCGGTTAAGCCGCAGTAATTAGACTTTCTTCAAAGAGTTGTTTTTTGGCGGGAAAACACTTGTCTCGATGTCGATTCTGCTCACAGAGTCACAGCTCGTCGACGAAGATGCCCACGTGAGTGTGACTTTATCAAATATTTGTCCGCCTTTGCTCTGCTTGGATTTCTGCCCGCCCGCTGCTGGGATATTGTAGGAAGCTATCTCGATGGGTGCGGCTAGCTTCCTCGATATTCCGACAGTTGTCTGAGCGATTTTTTAGAGAATATTACTCGAAAAACAGAAAGTAGTGCTTGGAAAACCAATGCTAAGCCGATTTGATGGTGTTTTGGAAACAGTTTTTTTTCAATTTCCAATGGCCGTTTATCCCTATTACAATTTTTTTAGTTTATAAGTTTGATAAAATTCAAAGAAGTCCGTTGAAACAAAAATTTTTGTGTAGACTCTATTTTTGAGGATCTGAAATCATTTTCACTTATTTTATATCAAAGTAATTCGAGCTCGAAAATAGATGGAAAGAAATCCCATAGTATTAAGAAAACTTGAAAATAGAAAAAAACCAATTTTTCTACTTCGGAATACCCAAAAATCCCATTATGAAAAACTGAAAAGTCTTCATCAAACATTTGCAGTTCGCGAAAAACCGTTTCAAATTAATTGTGACTGGCAGCAAGAACGTCGGGAAAAGCGCATTGATAAGGCGTCTCGACAGCAACACATTCGAGGAGAAAAAGTCAGAAGATCGGATTACGAAAGCTCTGGCGAGGGTCATACAAGGCGCGGTGGTGCGTTCCGACGTCCAAGAAGTCGGCAAGTAGTGCCACGCCATTTTTCGGCAACTGAAATATTATCTTACAGGTTACGACGTCTTTGAACGAGACGAAGGAGGCTTCCTTAAACAGAATGAGGTTTATCCCGAGTTCAAAGTATAAAAATACACTTTTTTTCGTTTGCAGTTTTTTGAAAACTCATTTTTTTAATGCATCATCGAAAAAAATTAGTCAATAAAGCAGTTTTAAAGCCATTCAAAACATTTTAGAATTGATAAAGAAAGAAGAGCTTGCGAAATCAGTAGAATTTATCTAATAACTTTTTTAGATCGATTGGCTTGATGTGAAAGGAATCATCGTCATGTACGACATCAATAGTAAAGAGTCCTACAACGAGCTGAAGCGGAAGTTGCCCTTGGTGCAGAATACGGTGAGCATTTATTCATTGCGAGGTGATCGAATGATGGAAAAACGATAGAGAGACGTCGGAATGTCGTTGAGAAAAATCAGGGACATGAGAGATTTTAAGTTTATGTGAAGCCCTTCAAGTACCACCTCTACGCGGTGATGGGGAGGCAACGCCATTTATGGCGGCTAACGGTACACCGGTCACGCAATTCGGCTTGCTTCTGCTAACAGAATGGGCGGTCTTTTTTAGCCCTGGCAAGGCAAAAAGGATAATAAGACCACAATTATGCTATAACACGTTCAACCCCACGGATGGAACTTTTTCGCAAGCATACCAGTCAACCAGGACGACAACACTGGATGACCGATTGCATAAGATCTCCTGGAAAACGTGTGGTCCACGCTTCGATCAATAAAAGGCACTAAAAGGCAATAAAAGGTCGAAAGCGAAGATGGACCATCTAAGTATCTAAGTAAGTAAGTAAACATCTAAATTTGTTTGAATGAAATATTATTCATTCTTAAATACTGCTTCTTTGAAACTTTATCCTGTAAAAAACTCAGAGAAGTAAAAAATTAGGCTTGTTTTGATATGATTTGACGAGAATTTCTGCTCATCGACGGCTGAGAAAAAACAACTTTTTTCCAATCAATCAATTTTTTCTATCAGGTCGCTCCAAACTGCGACATTTGCCTTGTTGGGTCAAAAGCAGATTGTGAACGAGAAGTTCCATTCGAACTGGCAGACAGACTGGCTGAACAAATGGATTTGTCCCTTTTCGAAATCAGGTATTTGGTCTCAAAAACACTAAGTTATTTCGATTCAGCTCAAAAACGAACATCAACTGTGAGGCGATGCTCGTTGAAGTACTGGACAAAATCATCGAACGTAGAGAAGCTGAGCTGGAGCATTGGCAAGAGATCAGAAGCAATCAACCGGTATTTTTTGACTACTAAAGGGTTTTGTTTGTTAAAAAATGTGAAGATTATTTTCTCAAAAACGTCAGAACTTCTAGTTCTTAAAAGATTCAGAAGAATCTAAAGTTTCAACTTCTGTGAATTTAGGTCTACGAAGACGTTGTCGAGCCTTCGAAACCGAGTGAGGAACAAGTGCCGTCAAATCCTTTCTGTTGGATTCCCCGTATTCCTTTTATCAGCAAAATTTTTTAACTTATTTCCATCATATTTTAGTTAGATTTCGTTTAGATTCAATCCCCTTCTGTACAAAATGGGTACGTCACAATTTTTAAAACTTCTTAATTTCCATTCATGTTTTTCCATAATTTCTGTCGGGTGTCGATTAAAATAAGTTACTTTCCTCCCAAGGCTCCAGTTGCCTAACGACTTCAAATTTATGCAGTTTTTCTGAACTGAATAATGATGAACTCCTCAGAAAACCCATTTCTTCATAATTGCATTTTTCTTTTTAATTGTTTTGTTGCAAGCGAAGAAATAATAAATGTTGCCCTTTCTGCTTTTTTTTTTTCGCAGATCAAAAAACCAAAAAATAAATGATTTGGATTAAGATATGAGTAGAGTAATGTCAGGATCTCGAACTTAGAATAGCAAAGTAGTACAAAGATTAGCATAGTTTTGAAACGATTAATTTTTTTGAATAGGCAATTCAAAAAGCTCATAGTTCGTTCAAAAATAAGAAATAACACTAATGTAAGAAATACTGGCTTCCATGACGTTTGGATCAGCTTCGTGAAGTTTCCATGATATGTGTTTATCGCATTCAAGGCTAAAAATAGTAACCGCATGGCCTCTTTCAAAAATAAACGCCATTTGCAGGGTGAATTGTTTGATTATTGCTATGTTGTGGTTCATTTAATTACGTCTAAATTGCCAGGCCGTTGAAATGCCCACTTTTTGTTGACCGTCAGCTCAATTTTCCTCACAAAAAGGTGCATTGTTTGCTTCCTAATTATTATGTGTAGTATGAACTTGGAAAAAAATTGTAATTTATGTTTTATTTTTTTAAACGTGTTATCAAAAAGAAACAAAAAAAGCCTCGAGCGTATGAAATTACAGTGAAAAATTAAGGTTCATTTTGAATTGGACTCTATAAAAAAATCAAATTGTTTTTTTCAGACTTTTTAGACCAACTTCATATTTTTTTGATGGTTCAATTGAGATTTGTCTCGCAACAAACAACAAACAAGAAAAATTAGCAACTATTAGAAATATCGAAACTGACACCGTGGAATCTCTAACAACTATAAATTCCGAATTTCAAAGTTAAAATTGATAATTTTTTTACACTTCATCTTCCTAAAAAAATCATTTTTTTCTAAAGCCCAAATTATTCTTTTTGTTTTCTGTTTCCGAAATTGAGTGGGCGTCTTGTCATAAATATTTCTCCGAGTCGTATTTTTCGACAAAAAGAATTGACAACGTTGTGAAATTCAGTAAACATCACGTAAAATCCCAATAAATATTCATTGTGAGAAATTATGAAAAATAATAATCCGACACTTTTTTTTCTTTCAGAATAAACGCTCTCATTCTTTTTTTAAAAACATAACTTTTTCCCTGTTGGCTTTCTTCCGCTCAGCATATTCGAGAAAAAAACTTTTTTTAAACATTGAATATTCAATAGTTTGGTTGCAGAATGGAACTTTCGGAACTATACAATGATCTCTTGGTTTATTCGTTTCAATTCGTGAATGTGAAGGATTTCTGCCTTTTCAAGTAGAAGTTGGGACTGCTTTCGGTTCCTCGGAAGGCATTTGGAAGCTTTTCAGCTAGTGGTCAAACGTCTTCCACATACCTTCCCAAAACCTTTATTCACCTTTTAGTAACCTGCTGGAAATCTTTTGGCAAACATTTTCTACTTTTAACCTTATAAAGACCTTCCAACTACTTTCTGAACACCTTGTGAGGCTTTTTCAGAAAATTATAGTTCCTATTCACTTCCAACCACCTGCTGCTAACCTTCCCAACACCTTCCCAGGAAGTGCCTGAGTTAAAAATGCATTTTTTCAATTTTACGTGCCTTGAGAGTGATTTCATTATTCATCTTGAAGACGTTAATGATTAAAAATGAGAATAAAATAATGCCCTAATTTTTTCTAGCATAAATGTTGAGAAATCATATTTTTGCAAGAGTTTAAAGTCAATCTTCACAAGTCGGAAATTTTCAACAAGATTTTCCTTCCATGAAAATGATGTTATTTCAAATCACGCGACGTTACCAGAAGTGCCTACAATCTTTTACCTGGAAGTTATCAACAACTCGCCTTCCGTTTTATGCGGAGATTTGGAAGACCTGACTCTTTGAAATTTTTCTTTGAATTTCGAGGAATTTTGCGAGTTTTTTTCGAATTTTTTTCTATTGTTTACATGAGCCTTTTAGGAATTTTAGAGTGGTCTCTATAGGGGTTATGACGCAAATAAGCTCTTGAAGGGACCCAAAAAGGGGTCAAGGGTTGAGTGGTTCCGCTAGGGGCGGTTCAATTTCATTCAAAAAACGTTATTTTTTAGTTTTTCGCATGGAAATGCTTCTATACCTAGAGTTCATTACAATATTCGACTAGCATGTCCTTTAGGGACCACTTTTGAAAGCTTTAGCGTACCCTACAGGGGTTGGTAAAGTGGCCCCTAGAGGGGACTCTCCGAGAGCCCCTAAGGTTGCCTTATAGGGCTTACGCTAGAGTTCCTAAGCTTGTTAACTTCCAAAATAATTTCTCCTAACTGCGCTTTCATGTACTTGATAGAAATTTTGCTATGAAATATTTTCTGACTCACTACTTGTCGAGTTTTTATCGGGTTTGTTTCTAGGATTCGTCACAATACAAAGTCCGCAATCGGTTAGAAGCCCAGCTACTTCACTTGAAAGTTTTATGGCTTCGCGTATTATTAAGATTAGTTTTAAAACAAAAAGGGTGCGTAGTTCTTGGCGAATTTCAAGCCATTTTATTCTGAAATTATCTATTTCATTGTCAGTTTTTTGGTTTTTGATATTCAAGTCCAAGGAGAGTTTATGGAAAAAGTTTCCTGCGGCGGCAAAAAATTCCTGCGACTTTCTTCGCTTTGATTGACTGAACAAATAGCTTTCTGGAATTAATTTCTCGCATGAGAAGTTTCGAGGCCTGGATATTTGAGAATGAAATATTGAAAGAATGTTGCGATTCTTTATTTATTTACGAGAAAAAATCATTTTCTTTGAAAATATACGGAGCGTATTTTTTCCACTGTAGGTTTTAGCAGGAAAAACGTGACCCGACTTTTTTGCTTTTGTTTTTGCCATGCTTTTTAGGAACACTTGTTATGAGGTCGGAAATCCAGGCAAGAGTAAGATGACCCACGCAGCTTTGAGTAAATAAAACGGCATGTTCAAAACTTCCAACTTCTCAACGGCGGACAGCCTCAGATTCCCTAGATCAAAAATAATGTGGATGTAGAAAAAATATGAAGCTTTTAAAAAAATCAAGAAAAAAATATATTTCCATTTTGTTTTTTTTTTCGTTGAGAAGAAGAAAAAGCTTATAAGAAATATGAGAAAATTTCACAATAAAAAAGACTTCGACAGAGAAAAAGATTAGGCAGAGCTGCAGTTCAATTTCCTTTAGCTTTTGGACCTCCAAAGCTTTTCTTTCTGACCATTTTTTCAAACTTCTTTTTTTTCTCAGAAGTTCACTGTTACGAATTTGAGTATTCAGTGTGTTTCATTTGCTTCCTTGAGAATAAAAAATCTACTTTACGAGATTTCGTTAATCTCAACGAGCAGCTCGTCCCTGAACAAAGGGCCAAACGAAGAGATCCAGAAGATAATCAAGTTTTGAACCACCGTTGTCGTTTCGAAGTTGCGTAGAGCCCACTCCACGGGCTCATTTGGTTTTTGGACAAATCAGCAGTTCTGGTAAATACCTTAGTTGTTGGGTCCCTTGGCAGAAGTACTTGCAGATTAGATTTTTCCCTCTTTTGTCCTTATTTGGTTCCGCTTTGCCTTGCAGACAGATCTGCTAAACCGTTTTGCGTTTTTCATTCTCGCCAGGCGTGCAAATGACAGATAGCTGTGTTTTTGAAACATTGCCACTTGCCAGAATAGCTGCACGGAAATGTCTGAGGAGCTTTTTTTTTGTTTGAAGACCATAAAATTGAGCGGTTTTGATGGTAATTAGAATAAATAGATTTTCTCATTTGTATTTACTTTTGAAATTATGCTTTTTATGGGATCAAAGTATTTATTTTTATATTATGAATTAGAGCTTCTAGGCGTTTTTTGAAGTTTATTAACCAATATTTAAGATAAAAAATTTTCTGACCTAATTTGCCAAAATTGCCAAAATTATTTTTCAAAAACGGGATCCTTAAAAAAACATTATCTTTTTCCAGAAAGTTTCCAATCTTGTAATGAGAAGCTTCAAAAAAAGATTACTAAAATTGATTTATTGTATATAATTATATATAATTAGTGAATAATTATTCGAGTTCATCATTTCTCAGACTTTGAAAGATCAGAAAAAGCTCAAAAAAATTAAAATTCTGAGCCCTTGTTTCCAATTATATTCGTCCGTTGTCAAAAACACTGCCTTGAACTTCTAGAAGCCAGATAATTCGACGTCATTTTCCCTTGTCCTTTTTCCTCTTTCATCTACGGTCTGGAGAATTCAGATGTCTTTTGTGAGTTGTTTCTCGGCCGTATAAAATTACTTACTAATGGCCGCCAGCGTTTGTAGGCGTGGTGCATTAGGGCGTTCCTACCGTCGGTCGGCTGCTCTGGAGACCGCCAAAAGACGGCCATTTCTGTTACACACTTGAGCGCGCATCTACTCCTTGATGCATTAGTTCTTAATTGCCGTTGCGTCCTGTGCTCCGAAAACTTTTCCACCTAACTTTTCCAGGTTTTTCTCTTTTTGGCTCTCAGTCTCAGTGCGGCTGTCGCCCACGCTTTTTTTCTTCATTGAGGCCCATGAATTGGGTAATAAGTTGCCTCTTTTTGGTCTTTATTCAATGGGTTTCATTTATTCTCCCATGCCGCAAATCAACTAAAACTAGGAGGTCTAAGATCTTCTACTTTTTTTTTTATTTTTAGCTTTAAATGCATAAAGAAATCTGGGCTGTAGAGCAAGATACACGCCCTTTTTCAAGCCCGCCCAATTCGGCGCCGAACTTTCGATATTTTCGAAAGGTTCAACAAAATTATAGTACACTATCTATAACTTGAATTAGAGCGTTTTCAAATCTTCATAATTTTTCTCATCTCAAAGTAATCGATAAATGTCCAATTGACTTTTTCATGATTAAGGCGGGTTTTATGATAAATCTTTTTTTAAAAATAATTTTTTTACAATATTTCTGCTTTTTCTTATTGTTTTCAAAAATTTATATTATAAAACTTTTTTTGAGATTTCCTGTTTTCTCTGTACCGTTTTTTTGCCTAAAAAGAGGAAGTGCAACCAAGTCACAGTATTTCAACAATGTTCCGATGAATTTTCCATATTTGCATAAGCCGTACTTTTTTTGCCTGTTTTTTTCTGTTGTGCGCAATCGGAATTATTCAAAAAGAACGAGAAACGTTCCTTTTTTTATTCATACCAATAAAGAAGAAACATTTAATGGGAGCCGAGACACGATTATTATTCCATCGATAAGTAATTGATGCTCCTCCTCGCACCTTCCTATTTGAAGCGGAAGTCAGACAGCTCGCATTTCCTCTATCTCATTTCTCAAGATTGAAAAAAATTGGAATAAGGTATCTTGGTGAAGATTGTGGTTGGTAGATGACTTGGCAGGATATTCAACTTTGGGACTACCGCTGCATATTGCTACAGTTTTCTTAAGAAGCATGCTCTTGCTAAAAAGAATGTTCAAAAGTTGAATTAGCAGAATCTTCGTAGGTTTTAAAAATCCGTCCTCAAGAAAATGAGTAAGACATATCCTAATGGGCAATAATGTGAGGAGAAAAAGGCGTTCCGCCCCCACAGAAAAATCTTCCATATCAAGCCAAAATGTCCGCAGGCCCCAGAGACATAAACTCACAGCCGTTCCGTTCTTCCCTTGTGTAAAATACATTAAGCCCAAAAAGGCGGATGCCAAAGAAAAATGACCTTCGCGATTTCGTCGGTGCCTCTAAAACTTCCGCTGTTATGCCAAACTTTCTGATTTTCTGTGTCGACTCATTTTCTCGTCTTTTTTTGGTATCAGAATCGCTCGAAAATCTTCATTTGGATTGTCTTGCAGAATCGGAACCATTTCTTTCCACCCTCGCTTCATAAGATGCTCATAATCTACGAGAGGATTCTTTTTATTGAATGCATTCATTGGACTAATCCAATTTCGTTTTTCTTACTATTATATATTTGGAGATTTTGGGATTACACTTTTATCTCATTGGTTTATTTGGGGCATTTCAATGGCTGAAAAAGTTGAAAAATGTCATATTTCAACTGAATCCTTTCTTTTCCTTGTTTGTTATTGCGTTTTTTTTAAAACTATCTTGGGCTCATAAAGCGCTGCAATTTTTATTTATTTTTGGAAACAGATATTTGATAATTTTTGTAAAGATCTTCCAAATAATATAGGACCCCGAAAACGGGAGGTTAACTTTTTGAAGCATTAGGTTATGAAGAAGTTATGAAGAGTTCATCTATTTACTTTCTCTCTGAAACGCTGATGTGTCTGGAGAAAATTCCCATTTTCAGATTTAGGCTCTGAAAGAACGCTTCTTCTTTGCTCTCTTTGACTTTGAGAAATTTTCAAACATTTTTGGAGTTTGAACGTCCTCATCCGCGAATCTTACAGGAGGAGAAGCGGCCTCCGGGTAAAGTGAATTTGTGGTGAAATGGGTTGGGACAAGACTTTCTAGCTCCACAACGTTTCGCATCCTATTCGTTTATCTTTCGAAAAATCGGAGTTTTTAGGACCTTTCTTTCAGTTTCTCAGGCCTGGATTTAGCTATTTCCTTCAGCTGCGTGCTCTTTGCAAGGAAATTTATCAATCATTTAAACTAACAGAAAAGAAAAGGACCGCTGATTCACTTTTGGTGAAAAAATTGTTTCACATCTTAAAAAATTTCTAGGAAAAGGAACAAACTTTACGCCTCTGCAAAAAGACTTCTGTTCATTATAAGTCACTGTTTTCACACGAAATCACCTGGCCACTTTTTGCCGTCTTCTTTTGAAAAATTTCCTCATTTTTCAAACGGCCAGACTTTTCTCCCTACACACAAACGTTGCAAAGCTATTTGAAGCTGTAGACCGTGGGAAAATTGCAACCTCCTTCTTGATGAAGAAAGACTTCCTAGATGAGGGAGTCTGTTCTTAAGAGAATGTTCACCAATTTCCTACTTCCGTCACTTTCATTTCTCCTGGCAGAAAGAATACTTCTCCCTAATCACAATTGTATCTTTTATTGTCATTGAGACGTTATTTTGCAACGAGCGCTGTCTATCTCTGAATTTTCTTTCTTGGCGCAAGTAAATCAACTTTCGAAGTTAGGGAACATCTGACTTCTCTCCCCGAACACATCTTTTTTATGGAGAAATGTATTCATTTTTGTTGGATCGACCACAATTTTGCAGCTTCAAAGAGTATTTCTGTACTTTTACGCAATGTAGTTGGGTCACCAATCATTGATAGGCTGATCTTTGTTTGCTCAGAACAGGAAAGCCTCATAAATTTTTATTTCCATCTCTGTGTTAGCTTTTTTTCTGAGAAATAATAATTTGCATTTTTATTAATTTTTCGAGAAGCTGACAAAAATTATTAAAGCGCCAATGACTTCAATCCTTCGAAACCGCTGTTCCACTATTTCATCTGCCATCTAATATAATATACATCAATTCGTCACGATCCTTCAGTTCCATGCATTTCAAGCACACTAGTGCGGAGTTATAAACAGACAACAATTTTATGAGGACTTTTCAAGAGAGAATTTTTTTGTATCATTAAATTTTTATGAACATTGTTTGAAGCAGGAAACTAAGAAGTCAATTCAGATTGCAGGCATTCTGCATACGGGTGTAGCCATGCGGGATGACCGCTTCGACACGGAAGACGCAGAATCAGGCAAGCTTTAATGGATTTTTGCTTCGCTTTATTCTGTCTTTTCTTGCGTTTCCAATATAATTGAGGGAGCGTGGAAACGACCCGACTTGAATTGCTCGGATTTCAGGAAAAGATATCGTTTGGCGGCATCCGTTACTCGCGCTACTTCTCATCTCGATATGCCTTCTCACTGTGGCGGGCAACTGCCTCGTCGTAATTGCTGTTTGCACCAAGAAGTACCTCAGGAATCCCACGGGGTTTACAGAATACAACTTGCCAGTGGAAAATATATTTTTATAGGTACCTTATCATTTCATTAGCGATTGCTGACCTCATCGTCGGATTAGTGGTGATGCCGTTGAACTCGCTTTTCGAAATGACCAATCATACTTGGATATTAGGTTTGTCAATATTTACCTGTGTGACGGCAAAAGGACCTATAAAGTGCACCGATTCGACATAAATAGACAATAATAATACTGAGGAAATTTTCCTGCTGCTGAAAGTAAATCTTTTCCATCAAATGAATATCTGCGCGAAAGTCGTTTTAAGTCGGGCGCATCTTTTAAACCAAGTCTTTTCTCGATTATGGATCATCAGAGATAGTTTTTCAACCCTGAAGTTTTTCAAAAAGCTCGAAAAAAAAGATTTGAAAAAAAAATTAAAAAAGCAACGTGAGGTTTCAAGGTTTGCCAATGTGTGATCAGTTCCACGCCATGGATATTTTGGCTTCGACGGCGTCGATTTGGAATTTGTGTGTTATTAGTCTTGACAGGTAACTTCAAAGCTTCAAAATCACTGTCAATTTTTCTCTTCAGATACATGGCAGGACAAGATCCCATCGGATACCGTGACAAAGTTTCGAAAAGAAGAATTCTGTTTGCCATACTCCTTGTGTGGGTAATGTCGGCTTTCTTGTCTTTCCCAGGGATCATCTGGTGGCGAACAAGTTCTCCTCATCTCTACCTCAAAGATGTAAGCTTTTGACATCTTTTTACGGAGAACTAAACTTTCTTTTACAGGAAAAATGCCTTTTCACCGACAGTAAGATGTATGTGAGCTTCTCCTCGCTTGTCTCCTTCTACATTCCTCTCTGCCTCATTCTTTTCGCTTACGGAAAAGTTTTCATCATAGCTACTCGACACTCTAGAGGCTTGCGGAAAGGAATCAAAACGGTAAATCTGAAAGTCATAAAACTTATAAATCGAAGGTTTCAGATAAAATGTAAAACGGGTCGGAAACCTCACACCGATTCTGAAAGCATATTGTCGAGTGAAAATGAACCAACTCTAAGAGTTCATTTTGGTAGAGGGAAAATGTCGAGTAGCAGTATGCGATCTGGCAGGTCGCAAGGCCGAGAAACGACACGATTACTCCTGAAACAGGTAGAAACACTCCGTGATTTTTTGAATGTTTTTCTTAAGATGTCCTGCAAATCACTCAACGAAAGAGCTGCGGAGAACGGCAATGCCAAACAACCTCTTTTGCGTTCCGAAACGGCACAAACGGACCTGGTTCCAGGCGTTTTTCGAGTTCGAGGGCCTAATTTCTCTAATTTCCCAAGCACAACGTTGAGCGCAGATAACGCGACAGTGAGTTTCATAAATAACTTCTTGTTTTTCAGAATGGGCTCAATTTGAGAAACAAATTAGGATGTAAGCTGAGAATTAAGCTCTAGGAACAGCGGTCTTTAAAGAATATGATTTCTGAAAATGATTCCTAACAGTTTCATAGATAACAAAATTGTACTCGATTATATTCGTTACGGTTGATTTTTTTTTAAATTAAGAGTCGAGCATAACTATAGTCACTCTAAATAGAAAAAAAAATGTTTTTCAAGTTTTGAGACGAAGAAATCAATTTTTCAGGCTGAGAAGAAGCCTCTCTACTCTTCCAACTTAAGCATGTCCCGTTCGCCTTCGCAACGTCGGAAGCTGAATGTTAGGGAAAAGTCACGTCAAATGATGCGATACGTACATGAACAACGGGCTGCTCGCACGCTTTCCATCGTCGTCGGAGCCTTCATTCTTTGCTGGACGCCGTTCTTTGTCTTTTCACCTTTGACGGCCTTTTGTGAATCGGTTGGTTCAGCATTAATTGAAGAAGAACAAGGAAAGAAATCAGCTAAAAATTCGAAACTAAACTTTCCATTAACTCTTTTTAATCATTCATACTTTATTTGATAGTACTTGAGTAGATGTATTCTTTCATAGATAAACCAGAGAAAAAAAGGAGTAAAGGTTTTTTTTCTCATACGGTTCTACCAGTCTTGAAAAAAAATCTTTATTGATTATAATCTTAATCTATCGGCAAACGAACATCAGCTTTTTCGACTAGAATGACCTCAATTTTTTTTTTGGAACGGTTTGTGAAAGCTAGATTATTTCATCCGCAGGTTACTCGGGCAAAGTCGGAATGGTGAATAATGGTTGTTACGGCTCGAAAAAGGCCGCAGAAAGGCAGCGAAAAAAGATTTTTATCGAGCCTTCCAATTTTTCCAAGACTTAAAAGGCTCAAGGAATGGTCAAAGAAGGGAAAAGCAGCAAAAATGGTGCTTAAGAGCCGATGAAATGGCGCAAAAAAGCAGTAAAAAGGGGCCTTTGTCACCCTAAAAGAAGCATTCCTATAGAGCCTTTTTTGATCCTTTCCGACTTTGTTTATTGAAAAATCCAATTCTAGAGAAAGCTAATTTGGAAAATTCAAAAATTCGATGAAAAAAAGAAGATAACCTTAACTTTGCTATCATCCTATCAAATCTTGATATAAATCCTTTTTTTCAGTGTTTCTCGCACAAAGAAACGATCTTCACGATCTTCACTTGGGCTGGACATCTGAATTCGATGCTGAATCCCCTGATCTACTCTCGGTTTTCCCGCGACTTCAGACGTGCTTTTAAGCAAATTTTGACGTGTCAGCGACAACGCAAAGTCAAAACAGCTTTCAAAACCCCTCTTTCTCTGGTCTTCACTCAGCTTATCTCGGTCACCCAAATGTGGGAGCAACCTCAAAATACCGTTATTGATTAATTTTTTATACTTTTTAGTCGTTTTACGCCATGTTTGAGCACCACGTAGTGATTCACGGGTTCCTATCTTTTTGATTTCGATTTCAAAAAGTTTTCTGCCATTTCTTTTCTCTATTTATTATCAAAAAGTCACGTGTTGCTTATCCAGTCGTCATATTATTGCAATTAGTTTGTTAGCTGCATTCGAGCGACTTTTACCTTTTTCGAAGGTTTCTCTCACGGAATAAATTTTTGATGAAATTTTTTTGAAAATTTTCAAAGAGTCTGCTTTGGATGGGAATTCTCACAAACATGGCCGTTCTTAGATTTTTCTCCTGCTCAAAAATCTAAGTCGTTTAGAGGAATCTTTTTTTCTCAAATCTGGCCGGTAGGTTCCGGACAAACTCAATTGCCGCAGTTTCCTTTTTTCGAAAACGAGTTGTTCTGTCTCTCAAAAAGATGTGTTTAGGAAATGCTCCGACCAAAACATTTCTTTTTTCGGTTTGAGTTATTACTTTGTCGTTTTTTTCTTCTTAAGCCAAGGTTTTTTAAGAGAACAATGGACGGAACTCATTTCCAAAGTTCATGGGAAATTTGTTTACTGTTTCAAATATTATATGAAGCTCAGGCTGGCTAAGTGATCCGGGTGAAGCAAATTAACGTTGTTTTTTTCTGCTTTGAACACCACAGGGGAAACGATGTTGAACATTTCTGATCAGCCTTTTTCTAACCAAGCCAATTGAGTGCGAAGGGATTGAGTTTTTTTGTTGTCCTCCTAGTTTGGAGCATCGCAGTTCATTCGAAAGTCCAAAAACTCGAGGGAGACTTCAGACATTTTATAGTGATGACGCAGGCTGGAAACAATGACTTTCTTTTAAAACTCCAGTCTCAGAAAATATTGAGAACATTTTTTAATAAAGTTAGTGAGCTCAAACGGTAATATCAGGTTCTTACACTTTTTCTACAGGTAAGGATACTCAAACTTTTCTTTTTTGAACGAGGTAACCAATTACATTAGCATTTTGTAGAAATGAACATGACGAGCGCATGATCAATTGCATGAACTGTTCTCTGAAAAAAATTACTATCAATTAAACAAAAAAATCTGATGCTGAAATAAAAAAATTTCAAAAACTTATAATTTTCAAAAAAATATAATGGAAAGAAAAAAATCAAGGAAATTGATGCGAAAATTCCAGTAGATATCCAAAAAAAGGTTGTCGAAAAACGCGGGAAGAAAAAAATGCTTAAAAAAATTGCTTAAATTTTTTTGCGGACATGCCTATTTCAATATAAACTATAAGAACAGAATTCAAAAAAACTCTGAAATTTCTATACTTTTTTTGGCACCTCATAGAGCTCGAAAAAAATTCAATCAGTTTAATTTAAAAAAATAATAAGAGTGTAGCCGAGAGCTTCTGGATCTTTAGATAAAACTTTTTTCAGTGTCACTATCTTCGCAATTTTTACTTGAAAAATGAGAGTTTTGAATCTCCTTTGAAGCAGGATTGTAATGTACAGAGAGTTTTTGAGCGTGTTCCTCAAAGGGAATATGAAGCTTCACGTTAGAAATATTCTCCTGGGGTAAGTTGATTATTGGATTGAAATGGTTTACTAGTAAAGTTCTTATCTTGTTCAAAATGCGTGTTTTCGTTTACATGATACTGAAATGCTAGTCCAAAAAAAAAGAGGCAGAGATAATTTTTCTTTTCCAGTCAGTTTTACTTTGAGAAGTTTCCCAGTTTCATCAGAAATTCTTGTTTTTTCTAAGTTTCAGCCGAAAAAACCGTCCGTCGCAAAATCACCCTACAAAAACTCTCGACTCGGACTTGCTTCGAGTTGCAAGCGTATCGCATGACGGCGCTCCATTGCGAAGAGTTTCCACGATCTCCAATCGCATTTCCGCTAATTGGAGCGTCGCGTGAGATTTGTTAGATAAAGAGAAGCACTTCGTTTAATCATGCGCCAATTACCATATCTACGATTTCAAGTCGGTCGCCACGGTTACTTCTTCAGTGCAACTCCTCCTCACCTACAATTTGTCGGCTGAAAAAAACGCACGACCGACTCATTTCATAAGAATTGTCAGCTTTCCTTGCTAGTACAATTTTTTTTTTGTTCCATCATTTCGAACAGAAAACCGCCAATTCCCTAGCTTTCTGTGATTTCGTAACCTTTGAAGCTGATCTTATTTTACTTCACTTCAGTCACACTCTGCAGCTCAATTTTGATGAAGCTTCTTCCAAATCTGTCTGAGATTGGAATCTTCAGAAGTGAAAATTTCATTTTCGCAAGCTTCTCAAAAAATCCTTTTTTGTGAACCTATGCATCAGTTTTTCATATTCCTGGTCTTCAGAATATCATCAGGTTTTTTTTGCGTCTGCCTAACAAAAAATGTCATTTTACTTTATGGTCTGGAGCTCTCTGAGAATTGGCCAGAACACTTCAAGATATACCAGAAACAGATCCCGAAATCCCCAAACTTCACAACTTTCTATTTTTTCGAGAGATGAAGGCTCAAAGTCTTGAAATTGCTTATTTAAAACAAATTTTTTTGAAATTTTCTTTAACTTCCTTCTCAAAAAAACTGGTAAGGAAGTAAAAGAGAATTTCAAAAATCTGTTTAAATAAGCTATTTTCCAGGCTTTGAGCTCTTATTTCTTGAAAAATAGAAAGTTGTGAAGTTTGGAGATTTCGGGATCTTTTTCTGGTACGTCTAGAAGTGTTCTGGGCGACTTTTTTGAAAAATTCCCAACTATAAGGTGAATCGACTTTTCCTTGTAAATTCCGAAAAATCCGCTCATTTTATAAATTCATCCGTAATCTACAAAACATAAAAACAAACTTCTAGGTACGCTAAAGTCCAGAAAAAATTTACTTTTGATTATCAGGAATATCTATTAAAAGTTCAGTAAACAAAAAAATACTTTCTTGAAATTATTTAAAGTTAGAAAATGGTCTTGGAACTTTTTTTTCGAGCAAGTTTTTCGAAAGTCAAAACCAGCTTAAAAATAAAAAACAACTTAATTTTCTGAATTATATGTGAACGCTTCCGCTTGGTTTAGCATTTTAAAGAAAAAAGAAATGAAAATCACATATTGTGAGCTTATAAAAATTGAAGAAAGTTGATGCCAGACCCGAAATGCAGAGGTTAGAAACAACGGGTCTCGCAGCGATTGACCTCTTCATCTCTCGATATTCCAAAGCGGCGGGCTCTCAGGTCTTGCAATTGGCGCGCGTTTTCCTCTCCAGTAAACTACAAATACTGCGCTTTCTTTCCTCTCTTGTACAAAGTTTAGAATTCCTTTGTTTTTTTCTTTTCATGGTTTACTATTTTTTTATGCTCCATCTGTTTTTTTGTTTTATTCGATGTTATTGAAATTACGAAAAAAATTTTATTCGCTAAATTTTTGCTTGCGTCAAAATTACAAACGTTTTTATTCGGTCACAAAAATATTTTATTTTTTTATTTTTTTGAGCGGGTTATCAGCTTTTTCCATTTTTTTAAAAAAATGTAATGAAAAAAATTTTTTAAGATAAATACTTTGAAAAAAATTTTTCAACTGAACCCTTGAAAAGTTTGTCCAAAGTTCCCCTCAGAAAGTCTCTATATTTTTTTTCGCGGTTTTTTTGAGATTGGATTATTAATTTGTAAGATTATATCTGGATGATTACAGCGGAAGATCTAAAATAAACGAAAAAAATAGCCTCAGTTGATACGGCTTCCGAGTATGGATTCAAGAGAGTCCACACCTTCTAACAATTGTAAGTTTTCTTCGTTTTTTTCTATTGGAAAAAAAGTTCTTTTCTATAAATTCTTGGCTTTTTTTCAATCAAAAAAACTTTTTCGGTTGCAGCAAAACTTTAAAAATACTGTTTTGAAAAAAATTAGTTCCCATAAATTTGATGCAAAATAAGAGGATTTTTCAGCTTGTGGAACTTCTGCTTCAGTCATGGAAACGAGTTGTGAAATACGGGCTCCAGCAAACGGCCTCACTTCCGGATGGGTTCGGCTGAACGTTGGCGGAAAGGTTTGTTTTAAAGGGATTACACTAATTTTTCAAAGATTTCTCATTTTGATAATTTTTTTGAAAAGTTTTCTTATTGACTTTCACTGGGGAAAATTTCCGTGTAATCCAAGGGAAGAAAAAAACTGGCGACTTTTTACGACGTTAGAGTTTTTTTCGCTCAAGACGGTCACATTTTGAAATAACAAAAAAGAAAAAGCTACAGTGAATACAAAATTTTGCTCTACATAAATGCTAAAATAACTTCAAGGTCTTGAAAAAATCAAAGATCTTGAAAAAATCAAAAGTCTTGAATCGAAAATGCTCAATTTTGATCTAATTTGCAATAGGACTTTTTTGCGGGAAGAAAACCGTGACAAGCTAGCGCAGGATGGGCTATAACTTTATGTAATTTTGGCCATTGCCTTTTTTGTCATTGGCGAGACTTAAACTCTCAAGGTCGTATGGGGAAAAAAATCAAAAATTTTGGCCTACTTCATGAATTTTTTTCTCCTGAAACTTTCAATTAAAAAAATTCCATTTTTTTGTCAATAATAGTAAAAATTCAGGTGTTTCAAACAACGCGATCGACGCTCATGCGCGAACCCGGGTCTTTCTTACATCGTTTATGCCAAGACGGCGACTTGCCTACAGATAAGGTACAGTCAGAACTGATCCTTCTTTATTCAAAGCATGAAAAATTTCTAGGACGAATCCGGCGCTTATTTGATAGACCGAGACGCCGACTTCTTCTCCCCAATTCTCAATTACTTACGCCATGGGAAACTCATTCTGAATCCTGGGATCTCAGAAGAAGGTGACCCTAGGTGAAAAAGATCAAAGTTATATTTTAAAACTTTTCAGGTATTCTTGAAGAAGCGGATTTTTTTACAATTTACCAATGCTTGCCCAACTGATAGCTGACCGGATCCATGAACGCGAAAGCAGCTTGAAAGAGAAAAGGGTATTTCTTTTCTCACAAAAATATTATTAAATCAAGTGTTTTGAATGATTTACGAAGATTGAGAAAAATGAGCAAATATGATGAAAATTTTTTTGAAGATTGTGATTTGGATTCCAAAATAATTGTGTTTACTGTTTCAATTTTTTTTCGAGGTTGGGGCGTCAATCATTTCGAAAGTCCGTTTTCTTTCACTGCGCTTTAAAATGAGAAAATGAATTCTCCACAGAACCCGTAGGCTCAATTTTTTTTGTACATATTATTAAAAAAACAGGTATTGAAATTATTTAGATTTTGAGAAAAATGAGCAGACGATCTCAATATCCAAGGTCTTATTTGTACGGACTTTTGATAAAATTAGAAACGGGAAGGAACCTTAATGTGGCTCAAAGATCAAAGCGATATTTCAGAAAGTCTTTTTAATTCAAAGTTCTAACATAATAAAGCTATCTTTTGAATTTACGTTAACCCACCTTCACATAAAAAATGGCCTTTTTTCAATCCTATATAATTCAGACAACCAAGTTTGTTTATCGTGTCCTCCAATGTCACGGGAACGAGCTGACGTCTGTCGTTTCTGCGATGAGCGACGGTTGGAAAATCGTCCAGGTACGCCAAATTCGTCTTCGAAAATTCCAGAACAAATATCTTTTCAAGATTGTGCCAATCAACTCCAATGAGCCAAACTACGACGCAGAGCAGAAGCAAGAGTTTCTGTGTATCGTGGAGCGCGAATGTCCCGACAACGAGACCATGTGCGAGAGTCAGGATCGCGCCAAACTCTTGCAGCAACGTGCTCGGCGTCAATGATTCCCTTCCTGATTGTTTTGCTTTTTTGTGCTGTTCTCCGAGTGATTCTAAACCAAAGCGCCCTTTCAAAACGATTCTTATTTCTTGAATGTACCGCGAACATTTGAGCTCTGAAATAATTGATCTTTTCTTATTTTTTTTAATTTTAAAGATGCTCTAAGTGCTCTAATGCTCATGTAGTCACGCTCAACATATTTTTTTTGTTTAACTAATTTATTGTCGGCTATTTGAGTTTCATGACTATATCTGTACAATATCATTTCTTCGTTTCAAAACGCGCTTTTTTGTAGTTTATTTCGTTCCGACGGTGAAAGTTTCCCGTTGTTCTAATTTAATCAGAACTTTTGATCTTGATTCACCTCGAAATCGAAGGGTCTTATAATTACGACGCTCACAACATCAAACAACCAAAAATGCAAATTGTTAGTGATGAAACCTCTTGTATAGACATTTTGAGTTAGTCGGTGAAAGCGCAGTTCTACATTGGTTTCCGGGCTGAAAAGAATATTAAAATTTTTCTGAAGGTTTCAGGAAATAAGTCGGACCCCGTAAAGCTGCATTTTCACCTAAATTTTTCCTTCACTTTTATATCCCAAATCAATCAAACGATTATCGCCTCATGTTCCCAAATTTCAATGCGACCCTATCACCAAAATTTACATTTCTCACTGTCATGTCAATGATCGGTTCGATTTGAGATTCTCTTTCCCGTTCGATTCTCTTCCTGTGCAAAACAGATAATTCGAGTGTTTTTTTTTTCAATTTTTCGTATAAAACGATGTCAGTTTTGGCTTTCGTGCTCGCAAAAAGGGTAAATTCCGATAGACGACTGCAATTAAATTCTAAGTAAATCTTGCAAAGATGAGACGTGATTCGCGGAAACATCTCAAAGTATATAATTAAACTTTGAACTTGGGTGTAGTCATTTTTTAAATCCCTATTCAGCCACCGTTGTAATTACATGTTTACAGCGGAAAGAAGGGCGAGTCTTACGAAAATTCGAGATTTTTCGTTGAGATTCTCCACTGACTTTGCTAATCGTGACCTCATCAGGCCAGCGTGCGACACGCTTCGTTTTCTTAACGAAAAAGGCTTAGAGAAAAAAAAATTCAATAAACGATTTTCATTTTATTTTACTTTTTGTTGTAAATTGTGGTGAAGTTACGAGGATTAAAGCGAGAATTCAGTTTTTTTTTCGAAGTTCTATGGATCCAAAAAGAGAAAAAAGGATCTTTTGATTTTATTTACGTTACAAGAAAGGCGTTGTCTAGCACCGCTGGAAAAAAAAAACGAAGAACAGCAAACAACACCGAGAAATGCGAATACTGTCACGTTTTAGAGGATGGCTTTTCTGAGCACTTTTGAAAATAGGTCTCTACAGCTGCTCAGAAATTTTTTGAAATCAGCTTTTTCAAGGACCTTTGTATTATTTTTGACCGGGAACGTCTGATCTAATTTTTTTATGCTGGCTTAGATTTATGTGAATGAAAAGTCTTTTTTCTTAACAACTGCATTGAAAAGTTGTTGACCCTCCAAAAAATTCAGTCAATATCTGTCAAAAAATAATCAGCAGTCAAAGACTTCAACATCATTTTTGAATTTTTTCAATCACAGACAAACCTTGAAAGGTTGAATAAGTTCTATTACTTGGGAATTGTGTGAGGGAAAAATTGCAGATATCTCTGACCCCAGTCGCCAGCTTTCCGCCAATCTTTCGCCAGCGCGCGCCCTGTCTTTCGCGAGCTGGCGCGCCATATCGCGGCGAGCTGGCGAAAAACGCGCCAGAAATTCGCCAGGGTTGTCCATAGCGCGCAGATTCCCCCTTTTTTTCAATCATTTCCCTCTTTCCAATATTGTTATTTTTTTATACTAAAAAAATACATTTTATCAACTTTTATTTTTCACAAATACAAAAATTTAATGGAAATAAAAATCAACATATAAAATCAAACATGAAGAGAACTTGAAAAAAATGAGATGTAAGAAGGAAACGCTTGCAAAGTTTACAACTTAATTTGAAACAATATCTTTCGATTCGAAAAAGATCATAATAACAGAACATCAAAAAACTCTACCAAACAATACATCTTAGAAAAATGTAAAGCCAAAAAAATCCGAAGAAATAAAGGAAACTTGAAGCTGGCTGCTCGTAAACCGAAAAAAATTTTTAAAAATTTAAAAATTTTTTTAATTTTCGATAATATGCAAAAGAGTTGTTTGTTGCTTCAAAAATACCAAGAAGAAGAGAGAAATTTCAAAAGCTCCAACGCATTTAAGAAGTGATATCGACGAGCAGTCAATTTTTAAGTTCTAAAATTAGTTTATAGAGAATTAAACAGAAGACTCGTATACAAAGTTTTTTTGAAAAGAGGAAATTTTTTTACTCGTGAAGAAAAACTTTGAGCCATTTATCACTTTACTTCAAATGGCCACAAAATGAAGAAAAAAATAGTGCGAAGAGATTCTGATTGTTCACAATTATGATCAAAGCATTACATTTTTTTGTTGTGCAGGGATACAACACGGTTCTTCAAATTTATAAGCCCCTTTTCAAAGCAAACTACGGAACGTATTTTCAAGTCCGAAAAAAACTGCTTCGAAAACACTACTCGTCAGCCGAATTTCGCGAGCATGACAAATCCGAGTAATATTTTTGAGGCTAAAATATATAAGCTGTATTTTTAAAGCTGAATTTTTACGACGGACACAAAAATAAAATAATTTGGGTGCATCAAGATATTTTTGAGGCTCATAAAGTTGATGAACGTGTAAAGTTTACAAATATAAAAAAACTTGAAAATTTCGCAGACATTTTGCGTCGTACCCGTTCTCCGTATTTTGGTCAAAGCATCGTTATCCATTTGCAATGAACATCATGACGCCGTCGGGTGAGATCGAAAATATATCGATGAAGTACTTTACATGAAATCCAAAAATTACCAAAGTCAGAGGAAAAAAAAACACCCTTCAGCCGTAACGGGGACTTCCTGACGATGCTTTTTTTTTCTGAAGGAAGCAGTTGAGGAAAAAAGTAGAAAGCACTTACTAATTCAACTGGAGTCGTTCTTTCAGCCTCACGGAAAGAGAAGTTCAGCATGAAAACATTAAGCTTTTAGAGCGGTTGATCATCCACGAAACTAAATCGAGAAAATAATCCGAATTTTCTTATTTACCAACCTTTCAAGCTGTTGTTTTTTAAACCTGAAACCCTCCGTCGCATCACATTTACTGAGCTCTACACAAATAAAACAAAGGTTTATATTCTAATAATTTTCTGACCTTTTTAAACTTCTTTTTCAACTAAAAGTCTGTTCTTTTTGTTTTCGTTTGAAGGAGGATACGTGCCTTTGCTGCAGAAACTCCAGATGTAAAAACTATCTTATAAATTTAATTTGTTTCTGCAAAAATCGCGTTTCTTTCTTTGAACGACCTACGCAACCTACAGTTTTCTACTTCTATACACAGCTTTTTAGAATTTTTACAGAAAGAAAAAAATGAAATCAAGAAAAAAATTGCTTGTTACATCGAAAACTGCATTGCGGCATCGCTTTCTGCGCTAGTTTGGACAAAACAGGAAACGAACACTGAAAAAAATCGTGAAATCAGCAAAAATCGAAATAGAAAACAAAAAAAGACAAAAAAACGCGAGTCCCAAAATTTTAGATCGAAATATAAAATACAGTAATAAAAGCAAATGGGCGCGAGCTGGCGAAATGACTTTTTCTGGCGGATAGCTGGCGCCTGGGGTCAGAGTGATAGGCACATACTATTTACAGAAAAAAAAAAATTTAGAAACAGGCTTTTTACTGTTATTTCTTGATTTTTTCTTTGTATGTCAACACTCCAGCAAAATCTAAACACCCATTGTACATATAGAAGCAAAAAATAAAAGTGAACACATTTGTAAAAAATAAATTGAAAAGTTTTTGATAAATAAGTTAAAGACTGGCGTAAATTAAAATGTTTCTAGGTTCAATGAGCACATGTATTCGGTGTAGACGGTGTACACAAAACTACAGTAATGAGTTAAAAATCAACATCAAGGTCTTCCTGCGCGCTACCGAAGGGGTTTGTACAGTGTTAAAAAAAATTCTGGGGAATTTTCCGGAAAAAAAAATGTAAGATTTCATTAGAATCTATGTTTCAATTTTTATTTTCTGATGTACACGGACAGGCGTCTTCCGCGAGTGTGTATTCCAACGACGAAGAACG